GCCAGTACATCGTTGCCATTGTTGTAGCCTCTGAAAAGGTAGCGAAAGATTGTATTCGATTTCTGAAGGAGGAAAGAGCTGAACCTGAGACATTCCTTGCTCTAGATTACCTGGAGGTAAGAAATTTGTAATGTTTGGTATTTAGTAGTGATAAAATCTTGTCTGTTAAAGTATGTCTTTATTGCCTAAAACTATGGTAGTGACTGAAAAACATCGTTGCCAATTAGCCCGTCATTTGAATGGCTGTGTTAATGTAGTGGCAGGCAAAGAATGATATCAAGTAGCTGCTATCTTTCTTGATATCGCATCTTTTTTTTCCTAATCTAGTTTTGTCATAATTCTATCTTGGTGATTTCGATGCCATTGCTCTAGCAGCGCAGCACTCTGCATACTAGCCAGCAATGTATTTCGTTCTGTAGCAAAGTGCAGATGCTCTTCAAGTTGACCATGGGGTTATGTCACGGTATACCCATTGTGAGTTGAGAATATCATAAGTTGAAAATGCCTTTAATACACCTAATCTACCAAACGTCATAGGTTAGCAACACAGTGCGCTGCAGGGTATCGGTTGTTTACTCTTTTGATCACGTGGGGGGCTGAGAGCTGTGGTTTGCTGCCATTGCCAGCATCACAAGAGAGTACCATACCACACACCACTAGGCCAGGGAAAGACTGAAATTCAAAATTTGAAGTATGGTTTCTACTGAATGTATATCAGTTGGACACCATTGTAAAGTCAAGAAGTCATAACTTGAACCATCTACGTTAGGGACCATCTAGATAGGAGGTGGATAGGATGTATGGTCTGTTGGTGAAATGTGATTTCAGTCTCTATTGCGAATATCTGGTCTAATGTGTCAACTCTTGGTGGGGCAGGCTAAATTTTGAGCCTTGAGGTATGTGTTGAGATATGTTCCCATATCCAGAGTCTGAATTCCTGAAGCAGGAACTCTATCACATCATAATTGATATCGTTTGTGATTTTTTATTGCCTACCAAAGATAATGTTCTATTTGATCCGGCAGTCAAGACCCTGAACTGCAGGCATTGTGCATAGTGGTTAACAGCACATGCCTTAGAGTTGGAGTGCCCTGAGTTTACATCTCAGCCCTACTTCTCATTTGCTCTCACTAATTTGTTCATAATTTTTCTGGGCATCAGTTTCTTCATCTATGGATTAGAAGAATTAATTCTTACCTTATTGGATTATTGCAAAGAATCATTACAGGTAAACCACCTGGCACAGTGCCTGCACAGAGGAGGGGCCAGCTGCCCATTGTACTAATACACTTTTGCTTATACCTTCTGCCTCCTAAAACTTCTTAGCCCTAATTCATCTGCCTGTTAAAATCCTGTTTTATTTATTCCTCAGTTGAGATTTTTTTTAAGGCAAACTCCTTTTTAAAAAAATCTCATACTGAACTATATCAAATATATAAAGGGAATATTCTTATCCCTTTTCAGTGCCCAGTTCCTTAATAGTAACTACTTTAGATTGCTCCCATACACTCAGTTTATGCAATTGTATATTCTTAAGTATATATACTCATGTGTATGTGTGTATATATATATAACAGACGCACACATGTACACATTTTGGTTATACATAGCATTTTTGCTTTGTTTTGCTTTGTTACACAAAAGTGAGATATCTTACTTGCAGGTTTTCATTAATACGTTGCAGATACTTTTTTGATCTGTTTGGGGACCCAACCTAAGAGTCATGACTAAGAAGGTCTGTAGCCTTTCCTGATCATTTAATCCTAAATTGTTTTTTTAAGTTCCATAGTATTGTACCGCTCTTTTGACACATATCTAAAAGGAAATCGTTTTCTACTAGGTGTCATGTTGTTGAGAGCCTAGAGCACTTCTCATGCATTGTTTTGTCCCAAATAGTTAGTGACAGAGTTGAATCTGGAAATTAAGTTTTCTGGTTTTTCATGAAGTTTATTTTTAATATTACGTGAGCCAGAGGTGGGATATAGTTCACAATGTTCTTGTCAAACTTTTATTATCTATAAGTGCACACTATTTGTCATATGCTGTCACACCTATATATGCGCATTTGGTTTTAGTTTTAGTGTATCTAATATATCAAGTATTTTTTAAACCTTTTAGATCAAGCCAATCAATGAAAGATTAAGGGAGATTAAAGGCTGTAAAATGGTGATTGATGTCATAAGGACTCAGTTTCCTCAGATCAAGAAAGTGATTCAGTTTGTGTGTGGAAATGGCCTTGTCTGTGAGACTGTGGAAGAAGCCAGGCATATTGCATTCGATGGACCTCAAAGACGGAAAGTAAGAAATGGGTTGTACTGGTTGCACTTTTGGAGAAATTGAAGCTGTATTTATAAGACTAATATTCCACAAACAATTATTTATATGTGCTTTCGTATGTTCTCTATTATAAGGAAAACCAACATGAGACCTAACGTGGTTATGGCTTCATTAGTTTTTGTAATATTCAGTTGAGATTTTAAAAAATTAACTTCTGTAGCAGAACCCAACATCATAAATTTTAGTTTGGAAAATAGATTTATTGTAATTATATCCTAGAGAAGGTAATTTGTTTTCGTTTTTTTTTCTTTTCTTTTTTTTTTTTTTACTTTATACGGAATAAATGTATTTGCTGAACCTCGGATTTTCCCTGCATTTACCTATATGGCACGTGTGTTTTTGAATACCAGAAAAGATTTTAGGTGCTTACTTTCATTCTGGGTTAATTCTTCCATAGCTTGATGGAGATACTGCCTTTTGCACATTCAAGGTTTAACACATTTGAATTTAATGAAAGAGCAATTGAAGTGAGATTACTGAATACTAGTCTCTCAAAGGAATAATTTTGGTTTTAAAAATAAATATTGTTTCTTTCTCAGTTGAATAGAGTTTGTATTTAGTTGAGCAATGTTAAATTCCTCAAATTATGTCACTTTTTTTTTTGGTTTTAACTACATTTGTGATGAAGTGTAACATAGTGCCAAGGGCATAAGCTCTGAAATAAGACCAGTGATGCTCCTTAGTAATTATGTGACTTTAGGCAAGTTTCTTAACCTCTAATTTTAGTTTTCTCAGCTAAAATTGGTGAAATGATAGAACCGATTTCCTGTGGTTATGAGGATTAAGTTAAGTAATAACATGCAAAATGCTATTATAGTGCCTGGAAAATAACTCTCAAATGATAGTCATTTTATTGTTTACTAGTCAATTAACACATTTAATCTGGAATGTCCAGAATTGCAAACAGGCTATTCTTATGAGATGTAAGAATTTCCAGTGTTAAATTTATCTAACATGATTAACTTTTCATATATTTGGTGTTGCTATCAATAATAATCTTAATAATAAGGACATTACTGTCTTTTAGTAATTACTGTCATTGATTTCTCCATATTAAATTTAAGCAGGAAAAACAAGTGAACTATTAAGGTGTCTTCCTGGGCCAGCCTGTGGCTCACTTGGGAGAGTGTGGTGCTGATAACACCAAGGCCACGGGTCCAGGTGCTTATATAGGGATGGCCAGTTAGATCACTTGGGAGAGCGTGGTGCTGACAACACCAAGTCAAGGGTTAAGATCCCCTTACCGGTCATCTTTAAGAGAAAAAAAAAATGTCTCTTCCTTGTTTTGCTACTTCTTTAACTAAGATTGACTTGTATAATTGTAAAATTGACTTTTGAAGATTTGTACGGTAAATTTAAAGAAGTCGCATTAAGACTTTATTCCTTTACTTAACAAATATGGTTTCTAGCTTGTTCACAATAACAAGCATTACCCTTTAGGTTGTATCTTGTTCTTATCAGTATTTCAAAATTTAAATGTTGTATTTGTCTTATTTGTATCTTAACTATATTCCAGGAACTTTGAGAGAATTTTCTGTGTTTTAGGTTGGGTAAAACAATTGCATAGATGTCACATTTTCATAGAAATCATCTGACATCTGCAATTTGTGTTTTTGGTTTTCCATAAACTTGAAGTTACGTTTTAGAATTTTCTTTATTCAAACATTTGCAAGTGATATCACAAAATATTTTGGTTTATTTATAAACTATAGTATATATAAACTGTATACATATCTACAAACTACATAATATAAGTTACAGCAGTTCTGCTAGCGACAGTTTTGTTACCGTATTTTTGTGATAACTCAATTTTTAAATATTTAAAAAATTTATGTACCAAAATTTCAAAAACTAGATTCTCTTTATATATATTTAATTATTCCATTCACTCCCCTTAAGCACAAACACAACAATTATTTGCTTCCTTCTCCCATAGACTGGTTGTTTGTTATTTTAAAATATATATAGAAAGACACATTCATGTTTTACTGTTTTAACATGATGGAGGAAAAAATGTCATTAAGTAGCTGAATAATTTGCAAAAAGATCATTTTTCAAAATTTTTACACATTATACAGAGCAAATAAAAGTACAGGGTACCACTTTAATAGGTACAATCTGGTATAAAATATAGTTGAATTTAAACCTCATACCTTATATCAGAATAAGTCCTAGATAGATTAGAAATGTAAGTGTAAGAAATAAAACCATAAAAGTTTTAAGGGAAACCGTGGAAACTTTTTCTTAATCTCAGAGACAGGAATGCCTTTACAATATGACAAAAAACCCCAAAGCTATAAAAGATGGATAAATTCACCTAACATAAAGAATTCCTACATGGCAAAAACTATCACAAGCAAAATAAAAAAGAAAATGGCAAACTGGGGGTAGTAATTGCAACTCATAATAAATAACAAATTTTCCTACAAATCAAGGGGAAAGAACAATAATGCAGTGGGAAAATGGACAAAAGATATGAACAAACTTGTTTTCATAAAAGGAAGTATAATGATTGCTCTTAATCATGAAAACTTATCCTCATTTGTAAGATGGGAAATACCGATTAAAACTACATGGAGGTACTATTCTCACCTGTCAGACCGACCAACATCAGAAAGTGTGATAACATTTTGTGGGGAAGGAGGCCTTTCCTTCACTGCTGAGAGTATAAATTTCTACCTGCTCTGTGAAGGGTAATTCCTAAAATTTGTACTTTTTAGCAACTTAACATATAGATCATTTTCGTTGTATGAAATGATGTGTGCACAAGGTTTATTCATTGATCCGTTGTGTGTAATGGGAAAAGCTGGGATCAACCCAAATACCTACTACACAAGACTAGTTCAATAAAATAAGAATGCATTCATAGAATGCAATACTATGCAACCTTAAAGAAGAATGATTGCTCTTTATGTATGTGCAAGTACAAGACAAACTCCAAGATATATTCAGTTAAAAAAATAATATGTAGACTAGTGCGTAGTATATTACTATTTGTGTAAAAATGGGGAAAGAAGAAATTTATGCATGGATTTGTTTCTATATGCAAAAATATTTCTGGGAGAATTCTCACGAAATTGACAGCATTGATTACGTCTAGGGATGGAAATGGGTGTTTGTGGACATGAATGTGAGGGACATTTTTCACTCTACTCTTACATATCTTTTAAATTTTGAACTATGTGAATATCTTACCCATTCAGAAATAAAATGTTAAAGTATATTATTTTTCATACCAATAAAAAACAACTTAAAAACTACATTATAATTTGCATAACACAAACATTGTAGGAGAAATCTACTTCACCATCCTATAACACGGGAACAATATTTCTTGAAACAATTGAAGTTGGTTCAGGAAATGGTTGGTTATCCTACAGAA